AAGACCTAAACCCCCAGCTGCTCCCTCCTGATGTGGCTCGACTGATGCAGCTGGAGGAGGGGGTTCGAGTCCCGTCTCTGCTGCATCCACAACAGTCGTCTCCACCACACAGGAAGAAACCTCCGGTTCCCCCACGACACCTGAAGAAGAACAAAGATCAGTGCGCCATCGATATGAACGGCGTGGAGACAAATGTTTGATGATAAAGAAGACACAGACTGACGTGGTGTCACAGTGGACCAGTCAGCAACAACCTAGGCTGGAGTTTAGTTTGAATCCACTTCAGCTGAGGGATGTCAGACCAACATCAGCTGAGAGGGGCAGGAGGAGGTGTTTGGTTCTGACTGACTCTGAGTCAGTGAAACCTTTTCTATGACATCATGTTTTTAAATGTCTGTGTTTAAAGGTGAATAAAATGACTCTTTTCTGCAGCTGTAGATGAAGTGACATTTATCTGCTTTATCTAACAGTTAGCCTCTTCATACTGAAACATCTGGCACATTCAGCTTCCTGGTTGGTTTGACTGAGTTACATCTCAGGTTAGAGTTAACATTCTTTGGTTTAACATTTGTTGTTTTCAACATTTGGTTGAACATTTAGCTAAGTCTGTTCTTTTCCTGAGTGACTCCTGCTCCTACGTGGTGTGTTCAGGTAAAACAAACAACACAGAGACAAAAACTCACAGAGTGACGCGTCTGTCCTTTTAAATGCTGTGTTTCATTTTCACTGTTACAGAGTGAACTGGACAAAGACTTTTGTGCAGTTTTTTAAGTGCATTTTGTTGAAACAATATGAATAAACTCTTTGGTAAAAAAAAAAAAAAAGTCAAATCAAACTAAAGCTCAGGTTTTTAAACCAGCCTATAGGAAGGAAACTAAAGTTTGGCTCAATCCGGTTTCCTGCACCAGACACAAACACAGAGACGTACATTCATTCATTCATTCACAGCTGGATTCAGGCCAGAGTCCAGTTTAACTGAGTCAGGCTTATGTCTCCTCCTCCTCCTCCTCCTCTACGTCCCCCTCCTCCCCCGTCAGATGGTCTTTTTTAAAAGGCAGGCCACTGTCTCCCTGACCAATGTCCAGGACCTGCAGGTTGGTGAGTAGAGCGAAGGAATTCTCCTCCACAGAGTCCACAGAGAGACGGTTCATCCTGGAAGAACGACAAACAACGGGAAAAAGAAAGTGAAAAGATTCTAGAATATTCAGGTCAGACATGGAGTGGACCAAGGTTTGTCCACTGATCCAGGGAGACAGAGTGGAGAGTGGAGAGTGGAGTAGAACACAGTGGTTCTTAGTCAGAGTCAACCTGGAGTAGAACACAGTGGTTCTTAGTCAGCGGTATTTCTCACTCCTTTGTTAGCTAAAAGGTAGCCAAACATCAGCTGAACAAATAAAGTTAGAAAAAAAACAGGTCAAAAAGAGTGGAATCAGCTAAATGTTAGCCAAAATGTAGCTTCTAATCAGAGCCATCTGTTTAACATCTACATCACTCTGGGTTCACACACCAAACCTCACAGAGAAAACCAGAGATCTGACCTCACAGCAGGTGCTGATCCTCTACTGCCCCCATCACTGAGGGCAAACAGTGCTACTGATATTTTCTCTATGGACTTTGGTCTGAGATAAAATCATTAAGTTACATGAAGCTAATGTCTAGCTAACCTTAAGGCTGCAGCCTTTTATTTGGCATTTCTTTACTTTACTGTACTTACAGTAGTACTTACAGTAATACTTACAGTAGTATTTGTGTTTAACTTTCAAAAATTCCAGTTGTTTGTTGTGTGTTCTGCTTCATTCTTTCATCTTTTTGTCTTGTTGTTTTCAGTGGTTAGTTCAACGCTAACAGATGAAGATTCTTCAGTTAGTATTTAAGTCCACTGTTGTTTTTAACCTCTGAGCTGCAGCTGTTTCCCATCAGCCCCCTTTCAGAGCTGTCTACACTAACACTTCATAATCAAGTCCTCAGTCTCAGGCCAAACTGAAACTGTTACATAAGGAACCACCCAGAATGTTCTCAAACCCTCCAGGACCAGGGAGAGGTCTGGCTCCAGGTCGGCACAGATCTTCAAATGTTCTTTAAAGAGACCAGGTTCTGAACTTTAGAACGTGGTTCCTGTGCCTCTTACCGTAGAAAGATCCCTTTGATGTTTGGTGTTCCTTCAAATGCTGATGCAGGAACTGTTGAGATGCGATTGTTCTGCAGGTACAGGTACTCCAGAGACTCTGGCAGGTCTGAGGGAATGTGGGTCAGATGGTTCCCTGACAGGTCCAACGTCTGAAACCACAGATCGTGAGGAAGCAGCAAAACAGTACCAAAACCTGGCAGCAAAATAGTCTTCTTTTTTTTTTTTTTACAAAGGCTAGGTACTAAAGGAACTACAGAGTTCCCTCTCTATATCCTGGTTCTCCTGCCGTGTCCTTAGTCCTCCCCAGATTTTTTTAAAAATGATCTCGTAAAGTTTTCACTATACCACGAAATAAAGCAAAACTAAGAAAAACTAAAAAGACATTGTAAAATAATTATACATAAAGAAGTTTTGGCTTTAAAAATGTTTGTTTTGAAATTGAGATAACCACGATGGTAGCTCTGTTTACCTAGACGAGATCGCACACAGCATACTATTGGCTAATTGAGCATGCTCTTCTGTTCCTCAACCTGATTGGCTCATGCATCGTAGAATCTACAACTCCACTGTGCATATAACTGTGGGAAAGGGTAATACAGTCTGGGGAGGGTTGATAACAGTGTGTGTGGGGGGGTGGGGGTTCGTAAAGGGTAAATATATACGTCAATAATGTAATAACTATCTCGCCTCTACTTTGCGATTTTTCCCTTTTTGGTTACTATACACAGTATAGTACGCAACAATACACATTTACAGGTTAGGAACTATTAGAACTCAGACTTAGATTCATGTTTCTGCCACAGGAACTACTGCAGGGATCTAAAACAACCACCAAAAGAATCAGTCCTAACCTCAGCTGACAGAGATCCAGTATAGGTCTGGGACTAATTTGAGAAAAGTTCCACAAACACTCACAGTGAGGGCGCTCAGTTCCATCCAGGCTCCCTGGTAAACCGAGTTCAGTCTCAGCTGGTTGTTGCTCAGGACGATCTTGTGGAGTTTGTCCATTCCTGTCAGAGCCCCGTCTGGTACCGAGCTGAGGTGGTTGTTCTTGATCTCCAGGACGTGCAGGCTGCGTGGCAGGCCCAGTGGGAGGGACTGGAGTCCGTTCCCGGACAGGTCCAGCTTCTCCAGGAATCTGAGCTTCCTGAAGGCCTCGCGGTGCAGCTTGGTGTTGGTGAGTTTGTTGTAGCTCAGGTTGAGTTCCGTCAGGGTGAAGAGCAGAGCCAGGTCGTTACGACCAATTTCAGAGATCTGGTTGTGGAGCAGCATCAGGATCTTGGCCCGGCGAGGAAGACCTCGGGGAACTCGCTCCAGAAGGTTGTTGTACATGTGCAGCGTGTGCAGCTTCTTCAGTCCCTACAGGGAACCGGTCCAAGAGGAAACACATCATTAAACTCCACACAGTCACCTGTCCAGGAAGTCTCACCACAGGACCAACTCGGTTCCTGTCACTCGTGCTAACATTTAACTTTCCTCAGCTATCTTTAAGCCCCTATAACGTGACTATGATTAATAGCTTCTCTTGGTTTTGGACACTTGGTTTCCAGCTAACTCTCCTGTTTGTCTTTGACAATCTTTAGCTCAGACTATAAGATTGTAAGCTAACCTTTAGCTATTTAGACACTATTTGAACAGATGGCTACATAATAGGAAGTTGTAGCTAAAGTAGCTTAACACTTTAAACAAAACGAGTTTTGTTAAAGTCCTCTTAGTACTTTACTGAAGCACTCAGACATCCTAACTTTTCCAGTTCTGTTAGCTACACCACATATACATTATTGTATATAGTTTTTGGATCATAACAAGACCACCGACCTAAACGTGCCAAAGTTCCTGCTGCCATCTCTTCATGACCACAATTTGTTCTACCTCTGAAAAAACGTTTTTTTCTTCTTCCACACACTCAGCAGAAGAAATCGGTACCTGGAACGCTGTCGGATGGATGGAGCGGGAGCGGAGCTTGTTGTTGTGGAGCAGCAGATATTCCAAGTTCCTGACGGAGACCAGAGCGTCTCCTGGAATGCTGTGGATGGAGTTCTTCTCCAGGTGCAGCAGCACCAGGTTCCGAGGCAGACCTTTGGGGACCACGCTGAGGTTGTTGTTGGACAGATCCAGACACTCCAGGCTGTTCAGCTGGCTGGTGGAGCAGAAGAAGAACCGATTCTGTTCTATGGCTCTGACAGGACGGTCACACAGCAGAGGAATTGATTTTCTCTAGATATTTACTACAGTGAAGACCAGAAACCAGAACCGTTTGGTTTCTGACTAAGAGTTCCTGGTAGTTAGAGCTCTGATGTGTGTGTGAGTGCGAAGACTTGGTCCACCTGAAGGTCTCGTTGTCCAGGCCTTCGTTGCTCAGGAAGTTGTTCTGCAGATACAGCTCTCGGAGGTTTGACAAGTTCTTGAAGGCTCCGGACGGAACTTTCTCCAGTTTGTTGCTCTGAAAAGAACATGAACCATCCCAATGTGAACATCTGGACCAGGTGACCAAGACTGAGGTGGAAGTACTGGTGCGAGTGAGCGCACCTTTAAGTGGAGACGGTACAGACTGGATGGCAGGTTGTTGGGAACGACCCTCAGACCGTTGCTGGACAAGGTGAGGACCTCCAGACTTTCAGAACCATTGAACATGTGATCAGGAAGTCCAGTGTCGGTCAGTTTGTTGTTGTGGAGATACACCGACCTGGAAACACCAGGAGCAGATGAAGACTGGAGAGAATCA